CACGAAGCCCAGCTATTTTTTCTTTTGTTTTTGTTTTTGAGGCAAGGTCTCACTGTGAAATCCAAATTGGCCTTGAATTTGCAGGACTCCTGCGTTGGCCTCCTACAGCTAGTATTAGAGGCATTTACCACCACACCTGCCTTTTACCTTCTTTCTTATGGTATCTTTTGAATAAACATCTTTAACATGGTTGGAGGGGTGGAGGATGTAGGAGTGGTTCTTCTGGTTGCTTTGCAAATGCAAGGTCCCAAGTTTGATTCCCGGTACCAAAATAAAAATAAATAAATAAATAAATAAACATGTGACAGAACTTTTGAGCTGGGGATTTAGCTCATTGGTGTGCTGCCTGCCTTGCAAGCACAAGGTCTTGAGTTCAATTTTTGGTACACACACACAAAAGGTTGGATTCCTTTTTTTTTTGGTACCGGGGATTGAACTCAGGTCCTTGCACTTGCAAGGCAGGCCACTGAACCGCTGAGCTAAATCCCCGGCCTTATGGATTTCTTTTTTTCAGTGTGCTTTTTATTTCCCATTTAGATATTTCTCCCCTATGCTGGGTTTATCAAAATATTCTCATATATTCTAAAAGTTTTTAAGTATTCTTTTCACATTTATTTTATTTTTGGGGGGTACTGGGGATCAAACTCCGGACCTTGAGCTTGCAAGGCAGGCGGAGGCACCACTGAGCTAAACCCGCGGCCCCCATCGTTTCACATTTAAATCTAATTAACGTGAAATAGAATTTTTGGTATTCCATGAAGTAAGGATCCAATTTATTGTTTTTGTTTCTCCTGCTTCTCAGATCTTGAGGGAGCTGCCAGTTGATACAGTAGCTGCTTATCTGCACCCTGCCAGGCTTTCTGGGATGCTGCAGAAGGGAATACGTGGACACCCAGCTTTAAGTAGATGGTGCTTTCAGAGAACACACTGGCTCAGATCCTTTAGGCCAGGGGCTTATCTGGCCCACGGTGTTAGTGGGCATTCATTTGCTCATTCCTTCTCATCTTACTTTTGATAAAATTGAAGTTCTTTTCTGCCAAACTTATTTGAGGTCTCTGTCAGCCATTATAAGCAAGGATTCTAGCCATTGGCTGCTAGGTAGCAAGTCAGAGCTTCCCATTTGTAGCTGAACATCAGGCAGATTCTATTAGATTTCCTGGTTGAGGAGACGTATGTTCAGAGAACTGGAAGGAGGTTAGGCAACTTTTCATAATCTTTGAAAAGCATTCCTCTCATTTCCTAGATGTTTCTTTTTTTCTTCTAAACTGAGAAAATAAGCCTAATACAATTTTTTTTTTTTTTGCTTAGATCTTTGCAATAATAGAAATATATTAGCTTTTGGAACTGTCTTTCTTTCTTTTTTTTTTGGTATGGGGGTTCAAACTTGGGTCCTTGTGCTTGTGAGGCAGGCGGCGGAACCACTCAACTAAATCCCCGGCCCTAACTTGCTTTATTTCTTTTAGTTGGGTGTGTTTTCTCTCTTCCTAGTTCTTTGAAAGAAAACATTATTTTTATTTATATTTTGATTCTCTCTCTTTTTTTTGGCACTGGGGATTGAAATCAGGTGCTTGCGGTGAGGCAGGCTTGTATATTCCTATTCTTTATAATGTCTCCGCCTAGGTCTCCCAAATATATATATGTATTTTTTTTATCCAAAATTCTTCATGTTTATTTCTCAGAACATCTTATACAACCAGTATTGATGCCTGTAACAATTTTCTATCAACCTATTTCTCTGAGGAGGCTATCTCTGTCTGTTGTTGGATATCATGGGTTGAAAATGTGTCCCTTGTTTGGAATAGATGTGTTTCAGCATTTCAGGTTGGTGCAGTACCTTCTGTTGTATTCCCCCCAAATATTTTTAACAGTAATGGTTACTACATTGAAGATTCTACCATTGTTTATGTCTCCTACTTGCTTTTCTAGCTTTCACTCCCTTAGGAATGTTTCTTCCTATTTGGAGTAAGCATGATTTCCCTAATTATGTACAAAATTTTCGTACTACAAAACTTTACTGTTGCCATTCCCTCCTTGTATTTTTGACTCATCAAATCCTGTCTTTTTATTGCTGTCATTGTTGTTTTCCAGTACCAGGGATTGAACTCAGGACCTTGCACTTGCAAGGCAGGTGCAGTGCCTCTGAGCTAAATCCCCAGCCCTCGAATCCTGCCTTTCATTTACCTTTCCAGGGCCCTCCACCAAAAGTGATTATTGATTGATTGATTGATTTGAGACAGGGTCTCGTTCTGTAATTCAGGCTGGTCTTGAACTCACTGTGATATAGGTCAGGCTGGCCTTGAACTGATGGTAGTCCTCCAACCTCACTTTCCTGAGTGCTGGGATTACAGACATGTGCCACCACCTGCTCAAGAAGTGCTTGTATTTACTTCACTACTGTGATGCTGCATATCATTCTTATTAGAGGTGTATATGTGCTTGTGTGCATGTGTCGATATTTACCCAATCCAGTAGATTGTAAATTCCTTTCGGAATATCTAGTGGCTGGGTAGGGACAATTCTTTGCTTAACAGATGCCAAGTAATGTCACATCCCAGAGGAGAAAAATGTCCATGGCAAAGCAGGGTAGGCAGAAGGCAGCAAGCAGCAAGCAAGTGAGGAGCAAAGACCACACCAGCCCTCTTTCTGTCTCTTACATTTTATCCAGGTTACTTGGTGGGTAACTCACACCCTTAATCCTAGTAACATATCTTTGATCCCAACATCACTCACTTTGGAGATCCAGCCATCTCCAAAAAGACCCACCTATGACACATGAGGCTTTTGGGGGGATATCTAAATATAAGCTATAACAGATAGGTAATATATGTTCAAAGGGTACAAAGGAATATACAGAGAAAAGTAAGCCTTCACCCCTTTCCTCATCACTCAGTGTCTTTCCTGGAGGCAGCCTCTGTTACCAGTTTATTACAAATCGTCCCAGAGACTCAGCATGTTGATCCTGCCTGCATAGTTTAATGAAGAGGAAGTATTATGAAAGATACTATCTTGTTTCATATGGTACCTTAAATCATTTAAAAATTTATCCTGTATTTCTTGGTTTTCCTCAGAAGAGAACATTTATTGAGCATTGTGCATTCTCATCATTGAACATTCTCAGAAGAGAACATGGCTGTGCTTCTGGAGTATTTGGAAAGCAAATATTCTTTCGGGGCCAATCTAGTCTTTTCTTTAAATTGTCATTAATATAAATATTGTCTTACATTTTGCTGTAGGTTGGGGAGATGATGTGGGCCTGCGCAAAATTTATGCTATTTTTTTTTCTTTATTGTAGTGGCTTTCATACTTTTTATTTTCTCGGGGCCCCATCTTACACAAAATATGCAAATTTAGGTGCTATTAGCTTACTTTTTTCTATATTGCTATTTGTATTTTCTATTCTATGGACTGCCAATTCTTTCAGACCTCAGCAAACAGAATAGATGCCTCAAAAGCAGACATTATTTTAAGTCAGGTGTGTGGTGGCACACACCTATAGTCCCAGCATTTGGGAGGCTGAGGCAGGAGGATTGCTGTGAGTTCAAGATTAGCCTGGGCTGCATAGTTGAAGGCCAGCTTGAAGTACATAGTGAGATCCTCTCTCAAAAAAGAAAAAAAAATTATCTTAACCTCTTTATCATTATTGATATTGATAATATAGTAATATATTCTTCTTATAAAAAAATTAAAACATAAGGCTAAAGTATCCTCTGATTGTATTCTGATTTCATAGCACCTTCTCTAGAGACCACTCTGGTTATGAGCTTGAGTACATCTGTCCAGACCCTCTAGGCTATATTTACATATCTAGATAAGTACCTGTACAAAATATATTAACTGTACTTATCAACATGGATGACGCATAAATATGTCTCATGGGAAAAGAGCAAATTACAGAAGAATATATCAGTTATATATGAAACATACAGAATAATACTATATATTGTTTAAAGACTCTTATCAATAATGAAAAAGTAGAAGGTAACCTAAGGGCTTCATAACTATCAGATTTATAATATCAGGATTTATTGGTGAGAGAGAGGAAGATATTACCAGGGAGGATACACAGAGGCTTCGTTTGTACTGTTAATCTGAGTATTGGCTGTTTTATTACTCTATATCTTTTTTTTTTTTTGGTACCGGGAATCAAACTCTGGTCCCTGCGCTTGCAAGGCAGGCCACCGAACCGCTGAACTAAATCCCCGGCCCAACT